GAGACATCTGTCTGAATTAAACATCTCTGGAGGGGTGAGACATCTGTCTGAATTAAACATCTCTGGAGGGGTGAGACACCTGTCTGAATTACACATCTCTGGAGGGGTGAGACACCTGTCTGAATTACACATCTCTGGAGGAGTGAGACACCTGTCTGAATAGGATAGTGTTGTATAGTACTCAAGACCGTTCTCGGTCTCGGGACCACTTTTTGATGGCCTCGGTCTCGTCTTGACCGCATTTGGTCTCGGACATTGAGGACTCTGGATTTTATTTCAAGACCAGTCAAGACCATCTTGGCAGAATACTGTCCGGTTTACTTGTTAACATCTTTTCTTTTATTGGATCCAAAACGTATTGATTCAAATTTGAGCGATAACGTGACTCATTGATAAATACGTTTTTGTTACTGCTGTCATGCGGCCCACCCCTTTACCTCTTGCACGTGTCTCTTGTGTTGCCAGTTTGGGTGGTTTACTGCCATTTGGGCTGTTTTCATTCTGATTTTGCTGGGAACTCTGGGAAGATTTTTGTTGAATTGTTGCGTTTTGCCACATGTTGTTAAATCCCCATGGCTTGTACTGATGTGCGTTCATGTTCAAACAGTAAATATACTGTAACAATACATTGACTGGGCGGATTTTTGTGTGATGTGGCTGTTTTTAACTGATTTTTGGGCTGAAAAACCTCGATTATCTGGCAACACTTGTCACTCCAGTGACAAGTGGGTTTCTGGGAGCCTGGTGAAGATGTTTGCCAAATCATTAGTTATTAATGTCCTGATGCATGCTCAATAATCCAGGTAGAAAATTCTAAAAAAGTTAAGTCTGGTCCACTGAACATTCGGAAAAAAAAAAAAAAAAAATGTAGAAATGTTTCGTCTTTCATCTGAAAGACTTCTTCAGTCTGGAATTAGTCATTAGTTATAAAATGTGTCTATTTAAATCAGAATATATTTGTAAAACTACACAGAGAAAAAAGCACACAGCGCAATGCAAGTTCTGCAGTGCTTCACTATCGGAGACGGTCGGACTACGTCCAACTTTTATCGGCACCTGGAACGGAAGCACAAAGAAAGGTAAGCTGTAAGTGATAGTAGAGCTAGCTAGTTAACGTTAGCAGGCTGCCTCTGTTCCAAGAACAATACAGACAACAGAACGTTTTATCAGCTTTATCAGTGTGGCCTTGTTAGCATTAGCAGGCCTTGTTGTTAGCGTGTCCCCCTAGCAACTTGATGGTAATAACATCAACCGCAGCCGCTGCCCTCCAGAACCGGGTCGGCAGAGAACATCCAAGGTTTCCCCACGGAACCGAACGGGTCTGTACAGTTTGGTCCGTGAACGCAGATGGAGAGGTTAGCAACGTTAGCAGGTCCTGCTAGTTCAATTTTTGCTCGTGATAAACAATAACGAGACAGGCCACAAAAAGCTGTGTAGCTAATATTAAGTTACATTAATGTCATCTGCATACAGCTCCTGACATTAAAGCTAAGTGCCAACGTGATGCTCCCTCGTTTGACTGACAGAGCTCACCTTACGAGCAGAGAGTGGACACTGAGTAATATCATGGCTGAATTTATGAGAAATGGCCAATAGGTTGCTTTGTATGGATATAGGCAAATTACTTTTAGAGAGCTAATTTTTAAGTTCCAATTTACAGTTTCAGATCAAATACATAAACTTTTACCAGTTCACTGTCTAAGGTTCACACCTAATCAGTCATTGAACTTCCTTGTTTATCTGTTTGAAAAATGTGATGGACAAAATACCATTGATTGACACTGTGTTGTTCACCCACACGTGTTCTAAACTGAAGACCAGTCGTCTGTGTCGTTAACAACTGAGCGCTGGTCTGATTGCAGGCTACGCTCCTTCCTTGGGGTGACTGGCCATGTTATCCGTGCCCATGACTGACCATGCTGGATCCACAGTCTGTGGGAGGAAACCCACGCAAGCACGAGAAGAACATGCAAACTCCACACAGAAAGACCCCAGGTCCAACCGGGGATTGGACCCAGGACCTTCTTGCTGTGAGGCAACAGTGCTAACCACTGAGCCGTCGTGCTGCCTGTACTCTGAGCCTACTGAACCTGATACACTTAAGTATTAAATACAACTCTGAGTTAGATTTAAAGGGATATGCACATATCAGTCATTGTGTTTGTTTTCCAGAAACATAGATCTTTGAGGTGGAGAACATGATGGACAGTAAAGATTGCACGTGCTCAGAAGCCATGAATGTGGATCCAGCCAGTGATTTGCCACCAAACAAATGCCCTGGCCTTCTGTCCCGCTGCTGTCACAGCTCAGTCCAGGATTCAAGTATTGTAACACAGATAAGCAAATACTTTGATGCCATCCGTGACTCTGATACGGACAATGCACTTGTCTTCTGGGCAAAAAACCATGCCAGATTTCCACAACTCCACAACTGAGCATTGAAGGTAATGTCAGTCCCTGCCTCTCATCTGCACTGAAAGGGTTTTCAGTTGAGGAGGTATTTTAATGAGACCCCATCGTGCACGTTTAGGCCACAGAATGTTGCAATCTCTCATGTTTCTAAAATGCAATGGAAGCTTACTTTAAACTAATTTAATTTATGTAACTTTTTAGGTGTACATCTACTCCATTACTGAAACCACTGTGCAACTATACGGTTATCCTGGGTGTTGAGTTGGGACTTATGAAAAGTGTTTTGACACTTCAGTACTTTAAGGCTTGCTGTGTGATGAAACTGCTTCAGATGTAACAGCTGTGTACTTTTATTGTTGACTCACATGAAGTTAAATCTGATTTCTTTGTTATGTAGCTTTGAACATTTTAAAAAGCTGATACATTCATTCAAAAGCAAACAAAGTTACAGTATGTAACTTTTATAAAAAATATTCTGTTTATTTTAGTTGAGGTTTTGGTCTCAACTTGGTCTCGAACCCTAAAAGTCTTGGTCTTGACTCGGTACACTCTGGACTTGGTCTTGGTCTCAGGTTAGGTGGTCTTGGACACAACACTAGAATAGGACATCTCTGAAGGTGTGAGACGTGTCTGCAAAAAACTTCTCTGAAGGGGTGAGACACCTGTCTGAATTAAACATCTCTCAAGGG